AGCCAGTTACCGGGAAAGGCTGAATAAAATGCGTCGTCCGAATGCGCTCACTGGTAGCGAAAGTTGTGAGCTGGGTGGGTTTTTTTTCGCGTCCGATGTCTCGTATCTTCATGGATAATTTCATCCCTTATTAATGCGTATGTGGTACGAGTTATCCATGATATCCATTGATACATAAATATTATTAATTTTTATGTTTCTAAGCATGAATTATTTTTTAAAAGTGAAAAAATGTGTTTTAAACTCAATCTACGGCAACTTTATTTTTGTGTATTTTAAAACGAGGCTCCTCATTAGCTTCTTATTTGCATACAGAAATTCCCCTTGTGACGTCAGAAGGAGAAGTCGCATGGCAGCTTGCATTGCCGATACGTGTAAATAAGGCAAATTTCTTCTGCAGTTTTCTAGTCATTGACTAAATTTTCACTTATGTACTTGTTCGTCGAGGAGGAATGGACCATAATGAACACATAGTATCAATTTTTCTTGCATGGGGTTGAGTTAGATGCGAAATATGTCCGTTCTGGTGTAGCTGGTCACCGTGATCGCCAGCGGCGCACGTTTGTACACAGTCGCTGGACAAAACAGAATTTGACGTCGGAATTATCTCGTTATTTAGCAGGTTACTAGGCACGTCACTACACTGTTTTATTTCATTGATCGTCTGAGTAAAACTTTCAAAATTAAAATAAAAGAGAACATATTTTGACATTTTAAACATTAGACTATAGTGATCACTATAAAATAATTAAAAAAAAAACGACAAATCACAGTTACTAAATAAATGACAGCCGCGTGGAAATGAATTGAAATTTTGTTGAAATAGGTGAACGCGTCGGGTCACGACGAAGGCAAGTGCGTTAAAAGCGGCGTTTAATTGGATAACAAAAATAATCGAGATCGACACACATACAGATAAATTCAGAGTGGATTCGAGTTAGCGTGATCCATAATTATAAAATCATATTAAAACTTTATTTGGTGGAAACACATTGACCAAGCCCGGATTCTAATTTTATAAATCATTACGCAGATCAAGCTGCAAGCATGGAGGTAAAAAAAGAACAGAGGTGTGAATTTGACATTCAACACCAATCACCAAACAATTCAGAAACTTTTAGCCTTTGAAAATGAAAACAATTAGCAGTGTGTAAGGGCTGTGTAATTTCCTGTTTGTCCGACGCTTCGTTTTCGTGTCACTGTCAAAATTATTGCTACCTTTTACTTAACAGGGACGAAATGGTCTCTATAAAACGATAATCACGATCGCAAAAAAAGTCAACTCATTTGAAACACTTACCGGACGTCTCTCTCTCTTCTGAAATCCGCCTCGGTGATCATAGTCCGGAATCTATTTCTTTCAAAAGTGTTGCGCCAGGTTTATGTTGTCGGCGTTTCTCTTTAAACCTAGTAGTTTTTTCATGGGCGAGGACAGTTTTTCCAAAAAAAAGCATCTGAGTTAAGTGGCTTTCGTCCACTGATGTCGCACCTTCGGATCGATTAGGACGTGTGAATACTTACACTATGACTATACGTTTCACTGCAACTGCCCACAACACAACATCTAAAAACTCTCTCTCTCAAAAAAAAAAACGAAAAAAAAAACGCTGACTGAAAAATGTATATCGTTTAAAAGTATACTGAATGACCAGTGTTATTACGGCTCAGGGGTATGACTTCCTCTCACATTTTGGCATTTGGTGGCGCACTTTCGGCGAGAGTCGGAAATCCGGAAACAGTCGACCGTTTCAGGATAGGTGGGCGTGACTACAACACGAGAAATATCCGAAATTTACTTGGATACGAGTAATCATTTTCAGCAAAAAAATCAATAACTGCCCATTTCAGTGGGGCACAGATCTAAAATGGGAAACGTGAGGGTGGGCATTGCACAGGCACTTTAAAGGGTGGCAGTCGTCGCGACACACTTTGATAAACTTTGATTTTCCCACAATCCAATGCGCTCTTTTAATGGAAATCACAAGTATGAGGTTTGACCTGGGCGCAACTTGCACTAATTACCGCCGGCGACTCCTTCGGTACCTTCCAATCACATTAAAAAATGCCTAATTAGAGCTTGGTAACGTCTCATTTTGTATTCGTTGATTTGCGCAACAGTCAAAGTCGCCATCTTTGTTTATATGAGACCCATATATCTCGCACATGCGTGGCGCGACGACTACCGCCCTTTAATACTAAATATTTGAAAGATTTCATTCAGTTGAATAACATCTATCTATACGAGTACTCCTTCATTCCTACTAAATCAACTAAACATTGAATACACGAAAAGAACTACTGAACAGTTGAACAGTTGAATTCATCAATTGATGTATAGTAATAATGAATTTATTGCATCCTTAGAAATAATTTCCATTGGTTGAACAGCAATAAAATGTTAGTAATAAAGTACAATACATATAAAATTAAAGTAAAAGTAAAATGTCAGTTATTGATATTTCTGATTTCAAATATTTTGTATAAGTATTCACCAACTTGTCTTATTAGTACGTCTTCTCTTGAACTCATAATATATTTAAATATCTGGTTATCACTTTTCAATTCTTCTGGAATACTGATACTTTTGTCTTTCCGTTTGGTACCTAAGACATTCCATGAAGAAATGTTCTTCATTTTCAATTTTGATCTGGGAACATTGCTTACAGATTCTGTCTTCTAAAGGTATTTTGGGTTGGGTATGTCTACCCTTCTCAATTTCTAATACATGACTGCTTATTCTGAAACGAGTCAATAAGATTTTATGTTTCAGATTACATAAAAGCAAATATGGTTCAAAAGTGTATGAGTCTTTAAACTTTATATACGTTCTCAGTTTTCTATTATCATTTGTTACACTCAACTTCCAGAACTCTAGATACCTTTGTTGGATGTTGTTTCGTATGTTTTTTATTTTACTGTGTGGTAATTTTTGAGGTATGACAGACGAGGACAAGTTTGTAATATTTTCGGAGACCATGTTTTTTACTGATGTAAACCAATTTAAATTTTGTTGTTTTTGTTCTTCAAAGGCTTGTTTTGTAATATTACTGTCTGGTAAGGCACTAATACGATACCAGTATTTAATAAGATTTTCCTGAATATCTATAAGTAATGGGAATTTACCAAGT